ATCGAGGTTGTTTGATACGATAGCGAGGGCGTTTTTCAGAACCAATCTGAACATTTTGTTCAGGTACGAAGCAAAAACTCGCCTACGCGATATTTTAAGGGGATTCTGATTTAAAATCTGTTTAGAAATGGATTTACTCGACTCGAATATCTCGAATAATTCCCGCTTCGCAAAATTCTAAATATACCACTTTCGAAATATTCCGAAAATCTAGTCGATACCAAAACTATCAACCGTTTTCGATGCAATGTCTTTCCAAGTCTCCAATCCTATTCCCGCAAAGAGTCGATCGCGCGATTGTTGCGAGCAGTCATTAGTCTCTTTTACGAAACAAAAAGTTGTCGAAACACGTCGATATATGGCTCCATGGTGCTTTAAATAGCGTCGCGGGGGCAAGTCGTTTATTTTCCATAGCGAGCGCGCGGCACAGAAACGGCGCACCGTCGATCATTTTCACGATCTACGATCGATCGCGCCGGTACTGGCGGCAACGAGCTGCGCGCGCGATAATTACGATAAAACCGGCGCCGGCAAAGCGAAGTTAATTATTCAGTGCCGTGCGTGTGCCCACGTCCTCTGTCCCACAAAGGGAAGTGACTCGAGGCGATTACCCTTCGATGCTGAATTTCGACGAAACCAGCTTAATATGGAATGATGGGATGCGCGCAGCTTTCGTGGTTAATGAGCGAAAATTGCTCGGTAATTTCGCAAGGATATTCGAGAGTTTCGTCGGCTACGATTGGTGAATTATTGGGAGAAGTTATTAAATGTAATCGTTGCTTGTTATTATAATAAATCACCTCGGAAGAGGCATGGCTGATAGCGTGGCTCGAACGTGTTTACATGTTCTGAGCTCGGAGTTTCAAAAACAAAGTTGAGGAACCCTGATCTAGGTCCTTCATGGTCTCCCAACCCAGTCCAAGCGTTTAGCACTCCCATTTCTCCGAATCTAACGAAGGATCCATAGACCCTCCGAACGTCCTCGGGAAGAATACGGCCTCTATCTCGGAGAAAATTTGTCCGAAGCCCGGTTTGAAAAATCGGGGAGCGCGATGTTGCGGAGATCGGTAACGACCGTCGTGCAAATGATCCACGGAGGAGCCATGAGCCTCCGGGAGGGACACCGCGGGCGGTCGCTGGATCAGGAGTGAGAATGAAGAGGAAGGAACGAGGATGACGGGAAAAAGAGGGAGGCTGGGTGTAATGCGTGCGCGCGATCGTGCGGGTGAAACAGAAATAGCGCGTCGAGAAAGAGGGAAAGGGAGAGGGAAAGAGAGAAAGGGATCTTTTACGGATCGACTACCAGAACGATGAAATCGGTGACGGAGAAAGGGGCGGACGTAGGCGGTCATTTGTTGCTGTTTATTAATTCGAGGCGAGGCGAGATACGTCCAGTTTGTGCGGTTCGGTTGCTCGTTTCGCCCACGCATAAATTTCTCTCTATGTGTTTCTCTCCCCCTCCCTCTCCGCCCTCTCGCAATAACGCACACGTAGCCCCCACAATGGCGTGCGTCGGCCCCCGATGATAATGCAGAACATCGTAAATAAAATATGCCCGATAGTAGGTGAGCGCAGGGGACCGTCGAAATTCCGAAACGAAACTTTTCGATGCGGAGATCGGTGATTCCTGGATCAACGACGAGCAGTCGGAGGACCCGAAAAGCATCGTAAAGGCGGTAATAAAAGCGTTGCTACTAACATGTCGCTCGTGCGGCATTTTATTGGACACGGCATTACTTTACTTTGCCAGGGCTGACTCGGAAACATTGTTTCGAAAGGAGCGACTCGAGTCTCTTTTCGCGCAAGCTCGAAACGTGTGAATGTTGATCGAATAGCAATTTTGTGCATGGAGTGCATGGACAATCAATCGATCGAGGAGATTCTCTGCTCTAGGACCCTAAAATGAAGCGTCCTTTCGTCAAATTCTTCCTTACACTCTGCGCGTACGTTTTTCACAAGTAAATATTCCTATATCGACGAAATATCGAAGGGACTTTGGTGAAAAGAAACACGTGCTCTTGGTGTTCTTGATCGTTTGTATTCATGCGAAACGAAAGAGTGGCACAGTTTCCTGTTTAGTGGGAGTACTGTCGCGGTCGAAGCATCAAGACTCTTGGATTCGAGTCAAGACTAAAATTTAATAGTTTGCCTAGATAACCAGTTTCATTTTCCAATCATAGATACGAATCCTACTGTCAAAAACCAGAATGGAGAAATGATTTGTCTCCGACGAGTATTCATATTCGTCCAACGTGAATTTCATTACGTATTTCGAGTTCTAATTTGCATCTACCATTAGTTACCGTAGATTTTTATCTAGATGAGACTTTCGCCCATCCCCAATTGAAGCTAACGAAATAATTTCTCATCGAATCGTCCCGAGTTTTATCATGCACGATCGAAGACCGTCGAATTAATTTCGGTAGCACCTGTATCGATTATAAACATGTCCTTTTTTTTCCCTCTCTCTCGCCACGCTCGGGGGCAACATTAAAAATAACTACCTATACGCTCTCCCGTGCAACGAACCACCCACGTCTCGGTCTCACGTTACGATCGCGTATCTCTTTTAGTACTGGTTGCCCGGGTACGGTGAGAGCATTATGCGAAATTTTTCGAATTTCATACGACCGACGCCTGCTATTGACGAAAATAAACGTTTCCCTCGGTAACGTTTATTCGCGCCCGCGCGAAACGCATTTATTATGTGAAAAATAGAGTGTCCCCTCTGCTTTTTTTTCTAACCACCAACCACGACGAATTTCGCACGCGTATATGTAGATTCTAAAAAGAAGCCAACTGGTCTCTGTCGGAAGGTTTACGATAATTACGATTGAAATCTGTCAATTTTGCAAATAACCGAGCAGCGCGAGTAACGAATTCTCGGGTGATTCATCGTACTCGCGTTGATTCGATTCCCCGAAATGCGTGCACATTCCAGGTGTCAAATCGTCGAATAAACTTTTCGTCAATTTCAGAGTTCAGCTGGCCCGAATACGCTCTTTTCTTATTTTTCGTGGTATTTGCAAAAATTTGAGGAAGTTTGACGAGTCGAGTTTGTTCAAACTTGAACGCTCGTTTTGACTGAATAGCTCTGACGAGATTCCTAGCGCGTTGACGGAGTTTTCGTCGCTAATTTATATACCTTATTTGGCAGAAGGTAGGTCCTTGAAATCCCCATTGAAAAGACATCGAAATCTATACGTTATCAAATTCATTCCACGCTCGTTCTCTATCCCGAACACTTCAACCATCGAAAAATAGCCGACACTCCGGAATAATTCATTCGACCCTTAAATAAAAAGAGAATCGCCAATTAAGTGGACAATACCGCGTCGTCCGCGCAAAGCCGCGAAACAATGACCAACAAAGCGAAGGCCCAAGCTCCTCGGTCCATCAAATATTTACCGAGCCAGGTACTCGAAAATCCCAAAAATGAAAAAATGGTAACGATACCGAGAAAGGCGTACGACTCCGATCAGCATAATTTCGTGCTGTCTGAAACCCTCAAAGACAAAGGATAGAATAACAACGAGAAGAAAGGGGGAAGATGGTGGTCCAGCGCGGAGGTACAATTAAAATGACATTAATTAATTGTTAGCGCAACAATGCATCCGTGTCGGGGGCACGAACGCCGAAGGGGAAGTAGCGACGGGGAGGGGGGGGGGGGGACAGGGCCCCGGAGCCTTCATAAATTTACATGTCTTTCGCCGCGAGAATCATTTTTTACAGCCGTTAGGAGAGTGTCGGCGGTTGGTGTGCGTGCGGAGAGAAGCTGTGGACCTACAGCAAAGCATGGGCTATATTACGAGTCCCCATGGTGTTGCTCATAATAACCATCGATGTCTCTCCGTGGGCATGGAAGGCAGCCTCGAGGTTCGATCTTGTTATCCGTCTCGGGCCACGATCGAAATACTTTGCTCCGATCGGCTTTACAGCTCGATAATTATTGTCGTTTTATGCCCGACCAGGCTCCTCGTCGCGCTGAGCTATTATTAACGAGTGCTAGCCACATTTTTAGACCGGTCGGGTACCTGTCAGAAAATATTTTACTCGACGGACATTGTTCTGGAAACGGTCGCTCGAAGGGTTTTTCGGTAATTCCAGCTCTGGAATTCTTGTAGCGACAGCCGTTGGTAACCGGACCGGTTTTCTATTTTCTTTTATTAATTACTACACGTGTTCGCCGATGTTTCCCGTCGTCCGTTCAATTTTTAAAGCGACTCGACGCCACCTCCTGTCCACCGTGATGCTTTTAAAGCACACCGGTTTCGGACAATTTATCGTCCGTGCTCGATTTGTATTCGTTGAGTTACTTGGTGTATTTTAGTGTACACTATTCTTCACCTTTCAGATCTGCCGTTCAAAATTGAGGACAAAATTTAAAAATTAGACCTTAGAAAGACCAGTTTTCCTCGAAAACTACACTATTAGGATTCTTTTTTTTTTTATTTTTCCCATACTAATTTTAGTCCCAGTTAACCTTAAGGATTAAATTACATTAGTATGAGAAAAAACATAATTCAGGCCAGAAAGAGTTAAACGAAACAAAAACGAACATAATTTAAATTACTTGTATATTTTAAACGAAACATTTATTAACACACATTCAAGTTAGAGTGACGCCCAGAAATTATTACCAGCAATGAATTAGTTTAAGTTAAATTTCATTTGGTTTTATCTAAATGAACCATAACTTTACGCCCGCCCGAGGCTATCTCAAAACCCGTCGAGTAAATCGCCTGAAAATGCCCGTTCGGCCGAACCCAAGAATTTCCTTGCATAATTTTTGAATCGCGTGCTTTTATCTGGCGTGATAATCTCGAGTATGATTGGCGACGTCTTTGAGCCACGGAGCATCATAATCCAGTTCGTGAATTCACACCTGCGCGATATGAGCATTAGCGTTTCCCAGCCTGGCTTCGTTATGCTTCATATACACATACACACGTACGTACACACACGTGTGCTGACTGTCGTTCGTATGTTTTTTGTTCCAGGACATAAGGGAGCGGAAGGAGCGTAGATGAGTTCTGCTGTCTGCGTCCTCGGTAAGTCGTGAACAGTGAATATAAAGAGCGTATAAAATGTCTCACGTCCGAGGGGGACCTTATTATACGCGTATATTATTGCAACCTATCCCGAGACCGAACTTCTATTTAACTAACGAGCCGATGCCGTTATAAATGTTGGGAGGTAACGTTAGATTCCTAGGGAAATAATCATGGTCGCGCTTCGAACGTTTTTAATGTTCCACGCTGTTTCTTGCGCATAGCTGAAAATTATGACCTGATTTCTTGCGGTAATTGATGGAAAGTAGGAACGGTTAATTATATTTTATATTTTATATTTGTATATTACGGGTTTCCTGGTATGGTATACTATACTTGATATTTTTGAATATATATATTTAACTAGAAGTAGAAGAAATCAAATAGGCTCAAGAATAACTCTCTTGAATAAATGGCGACATGTTCAGGTGATAAAAATGATTATACTCTAAGTTCATCGATGTATTCTTGAAGTATAAAGGCGAGATTTTAAGCAGATTGAGATCATTCACGTGTTACCGAAGTTTTGCAACTAAATATACACAACTGTTACCCCTTAAACTTCAATGTATCAGGCAAAACAATTTTCAACCAATTTACACGTAGAATTAGAATCGACATTCCCACTCCGAGTAGGACCAGAAACACAGTCGATCGAAACGTTTAATCAAGTATGCTCGAAGGGACATTGATCGACAATTATTTCACATCCAGCACCCACCGTGGTCGCAGAAATACGCATCGGAGGTTACAGAACGACGAGGAGTTCCTGTCAAACGGTGCGAATACAAAGATAAATAAAACACCGTGCAAATGCATCTTCGGTAAAAGTTTGTCTTTTCCAACGAGTACTAAAAATGGACATTTTCAAACATTGTCTTCCTCGATCGGATCGATTCCCCGCGAGACGCTGGACTCGCCCATGGTTCTCGCGGGAGAAACAGAGAAACGGATGGGCAATGGGACGAATGCTGAAGACGCAGCTGGAGAGAGAGAGAGAGAGAGAAGGAGAGACGCGAAGGATGAAGGAGACAGGCCCACGGTTGCCGGACTACCTCTTCTTCCCCATAAATACGGATTTAGTCGCGCGGTTTACGACCGAAAACGTGTCGAGCTTCGCGAGCCGGGCCGCGCCTAAATTATTAAAGTCGTAAACGATCGAAATCGTCGTTAAGCGCCGCGCGAAGAAACCCATTGGGCCTGCCTCCGCGTCTCCTCGGACAAGGATCATTTTTCTCGTGGTTTCATTGTTGGGCCCGCGGTTAAGCGGGCCCCTCGATACACACACCTCCACTTTTCGACGTGCTCGACAATGAACGGGCTTACCCGTCGCGTCAAAAATCGAAATTCTTGGCTAAAATTCTTCGAGGATTCGGTATCGAGAAGGGTCAGCAGCCTTTGAAAGCCAACGAGCTTTCGAAAGGTCGATGTGCAGTTTTGAATAATCGATATGCTCCAAAAATTAATTAATTCGCTCTCAAGTTTAGATTAATTCTAAAGACTGATATTACTACTGCCAGTCAATATTAAGAATTTTATTCGATATTGTATCCGAATTCTCAGCTAGCAGGATTCTGGCAATTTAATTGTCAGTTGAATAATTTGTTATTTTTATTATTCACGGTTATTTACATAATATCGATCGGCACGCCTAATCTGTTATTCTCATTGAAGCATTCGTGAATCTATTATGCAAAAATAAAATCGAACTGTGTTTAACACACTGAGAACGGGTGACGAGATAAAGACGAGATATCTCGTCTGTAGCAAGTCGAACGTACGCAAAAAAAGAAAAAGAAAAAAAGCACCTTCCTCAATGGGTTAAATTACTCGCGTTAAAATCAATTACAAACGGATTTTTTTGAATCGTGTTTTTCCAATTATTTTTCTTCAAATACCTGTACGTATCATATCAGTCCTCGTTTAAGTAGGAAATGATAAGAATTATTTTTCTAGAAATACACAACGATCGTTATCTTAAAAAAACATCGTACATCACTCGTGTTGTTAAAATGCATTTTTACTGGATGAAAAATGTGTTGGTCGGTCAGAGATGAATTATTACAGTTTTTATGTTTATTGCCATTATTTAAATGGGATTCCTTATCTGATATGAAAGATCGATTACATATTTCTTACGAGAGTTGTATCGTTGAACAAAAGCGGAAGACTATTATGTTCTTAACCAAATGCAGTACACTTAATTTATACCGCGTGTTCGCTTGAAACGCTTTAATTGCGCCTCGATTATCCGCCATTATGCAGTGATTAACGCAGGTTTTGTTTGTTAAAAAGCCAGTTTACGTAATCAACGTGAGCTTGGGCGGTCGTTAAAAGATGGAAACCGACGATAATGAAAAAGGAACGCGCTAAGTTCACATGGGGCAGGCATAATAATTGTCACGCTAATGAAGGAGTAACATACGGTACATGGAAGTAACCTGTGATATTTTATTATCAACCATGCAAGTTGTTCTTCTCTCAAGACTTCTTAAACGGTGTTTCAACAGGATTGCAGATCAGCGTTATCACTACTTCGTTTAACTGCTTCGAACTTGGCGTAGATTCATTTTGTTTATATCTTGAGTACGTTTCGTTTAATTATGGAAGAACTAACTGTCAGATAAAATAATTACGAGTACATACGTTTAGATGTTTGCAATACATAGAAAGGAAAGTTTAGTCAGAAGTCAAAGTTATCCTTGGGTCAAATAGGTTTCACATAAACTCCACGAGAGAATCATTCCTAAGAAGCTCGTGTAATACGTAGATAAGTTGGAGAAAGGGGAACAAATCGTGTGCCAATTTGGGAAACCAGCAAACCGAGCGTTAAATTCTAGAGGTATTTGCAGTCGCAGAACCGGAGTTTGACGAGTCACTTTAATCTTTATTATTGTCTTTATTTCTAATGATCGCACGAATGAGTTCTAAGCACCCAATCCAGCAGCTGTTCACGTCAGCAATGTAACATTTTCTATCTAAACCAAATATTCGCGTACAAAAACTGTAGATGACTCGTTATTAGATGGTATTGTTGGAACTAACTAATTTTTGCAATTAGTCCAAGTCTCCACGAGCAACATTTAAAATTTGCATTCTGGCATCCGCAACGATAATTACTGTTACGTTCTTCGCCTCGATACGTAATTATTATCCACGGCAAGAACTCATTATCGAACGCGAAATCGTTCCAAAACGATTACAGGTTCCAAAAGATCCACGAACATCGATACCTGACAGCGAAAACGGATTCGCCGTACCGAAAAAGTCGAATAAGAAGGAGAGGAATGCGCGAGCGCACGGGTTTCGAGAGAACTGTGACTCATTATGCATATCATATCTTAATCGTTATTAACGCTGAATTATCATACAAATTGTACTTATCATGCAAATCAGCACGGAAAATGGAAATTGAATTTTTTTGACCTGCATCGTGTTACCGACAAATTAGTTGTGGTTTAATGTTTTACGCGACCGACGTCTCTGTCACGGCTGTCAAAGAAATTTGTTACGCTCGTGTGAACAGGTTACGCAAACACGCGTATCGACGAATTTTACTAACGTGTCGATACATTGCTGCACTCCTCTCTTTCGATTAAGGACGCCGTTCTGTACAGGAGACGTCAATTTTTTGATGACTTTAAAATGAAATTCTGTAGACGTTTTACCCACTTGTATTAATCGCGCATACCACAGTAGAAGCTTGGAACTTTGGAGAATACACTACACTTGTTAATGGTTATTAAATCGATACACTGATTTTTGTGTATACACCACTTATTACGGATTATTATCCTGTAATTTATAGTCGGATGCTGGAGAAATAAAAAAGAGTTGTAGCAACATGTTCTGCAATCCGGCGCGGTGCACCAAATATGTCTTTAATTATATGGAGATTAATGCATCAATGTATGAAGCTCGTGGATGACTTTCACCTATACTACTTTCGTAAAAATATTGGTTTAGAGTATGTAGATGAAATATGTAAATTTATTTAGCTAGCACTATTTCTGATGTTTATGTTTTCGATGTGTTTTAAAAGTATGGAAGATTAGAGGAACAATAAGAGTAGAGAGGACGTTATAGTCATTCATAAAGTTTTTCTACCGTCACTGAGGGATTTTATATGAAAGAATTTCATTTCATTTGATCGAATTTTAGACAAATGACCTCAAACTATCCTCTCACACCTATGTCTAATACGAACAGCGTGAGAATTTGGTTCCAATGTTCCAAGAACGAATGATAATCGTCTAGCAGGGAAGCAGTGTTTCGCAAAAAAGCGCAGCGGTGCCGATGGCATCGAATTAATCATTCATCGGTCGTATCGATCCCTGGTGAGAACCAGAAGTTTATGGATTTTCCCGGCCGCCAGCTGGCCGACGGGGGTCTCCGTCACGTCTGAGATTAAAACTATTTCTGGGAATGCTGCGTGGCGCGGACAGGCTAGATGCATGTCGAGCCTCCGCGTCACGTATAGAGGATAGGTGGCACGCACTAGGTGGCTGACTACAAAGAAGCGAAATCGATTTGCAATTTAAATCTATCGGCGTACGTGGCCGCGGGTCATCCGATTGCTGTACGGCACTGAGCCGATCATTTCACCGAACCTAGATAGCTTCGATAACGGCTCGGATCGAGCGAAGGATTCCGCGAGATCGAGAGTCGGTTCGAAAGATCCTGGGCTCGTACCAGCCAAGGTTCTCGACCTGAGAATTTTCATACGCGCGAGGATGCTACCCTCTGCCGCCCCCAGTCTCCTGAATCGAACGCGATTGGCACGGTGCTCGTGAATTTTTTCAATTCTTCCACAGGTACCTGCAATCGCGAACGCAATGAACTTCCGGATCTCGATTGGTTCCTGATAGGAGGAACTGTGCGTGGAATATGGAAGACGCAGGTGCGTGGCGATAAATGTTCTTATGTGTATTGCTATTTGATTTAGAAATTTCAGGATAGTCAAAAGCGTTCTTCTACCGAAATTTATTGATGACGTGAAA